CTTATGCCTCCTTTCAGGGTGAGAATTTTTCTCCTTATAAGGAGAAAAATTCCCTTTTCTCCCCTTTTCTCATTATAAGCCTATGCAAAAACTTTCATAATTCATTGTTGTCTTGAACCAGTTTCATAGTTTTTTTCATACTTCTTGTGTTCAGGGATTTGCTGTCGTGAACATTTCTGAGCGATGATTTTCTATGACTTCAAAAGAGGACTTGACCCAAAGGAGAGTGTATTGTTTGAATGCCTGCAAAAAGCCTTTGGAGAGGAAGCATCATCTTGTAGCACAATCTTTGAGCAGTTCACAGAGTTTCAGAGGGGAAGGGTGTCCTTGAAGGATGAGCATCACTGTAGACTGCCATGGACTGCAGTGACAGATGAAAGTGTAGCCATTGCACTAAAGATGGTTGAAGAGGACAATCAAATTACATATGAGGGCATTCATGCACTACTTGGGCTTGGGTCAGCAGCAGTGAATGACATCCTGCACAGACATATTGGTCTGAGGAGGATCACCAGCCGATAGGTCCTCCATGATTTCACTCCAAGTCAAAAGGAGGCCAGGGTGGAATGGTGTGAATTAATGCTCCAGAAGTTCAACTCTGGGTCTTCCAAAGCCATCTATGACATCATTGCAGATGATGAATCCTGGATTCATCAATTTGACCCAGAGACAAAGCAACAATCCATTATCTGGCTCTTCCCCTGTGAACTGATGACTCCAACCAAGGTCAAGTGACCCAGAAGCATGGGAAGGTAAATGGTGGCTGGTTTCTTCTCTTTCACTGGTCACATAGCCACTATACCACTTCAGGGTCAAAAGACTGTGACCTTGAAGTGGTACATAGAATCCTGCCTCCCAAAGGTGTTAAAGTCTTTGAAGAATCAGAGATCAAGTTGCCCTAGAAATCATACTCCATCATAATGCATCCAGTCACACAGCCACCCTCACATCCGATTTCCTGCATGAGTCTGGCTTCAGGGTGCTCCCATATCCACTCTATAGTCCAGACTTGGCCCCATGTGACTTCTTTCTCTTCCCAAGAGTTGAAGAATCACTTCATGGACATTTTCAGTCTCCAGAAGAAGCAGTTGCTGAATTTACTCCAGTTATCTAGGGCAGTGTTTCCCAAACTGTGTGCTGCTGCACACTGGTGTGCCACCAGAAAGGCTTAGGTGTCCCATGAGGTTTGGATTTTAGAGTTTACAAAAAAAAAACAACTAAAAACCTAAAACTAAAAAAAACTTAAAAGCAAGAGGGAAAGCCATCTCTCACCAAGCTTAGAGTTGCATTATCATGCCTCTTATCAAACTGCTGTGTTTATCGAAGCAAGCACAAGTTTCCTATTGAAAGTAAGTAAATGGCTGGGTGTGCTGTGGAAAGTTCAAGTGTCCTTATGTGTGCCACAAATAAAAAAGATTGGGAACCACTGATCTAGGGTATCCCAACATCTGAGTGGAAAAAATGCTTTGAGGAATGGTTTGCAAGGATGAGAAAGTGTATTAATGCTCATGGAGAATACTTCAAGAAGTTGTAATGATTGAATAACGCCCAGCAGTTTTCAGTTGTCTGTATCTGAAAACTTCCAGTGTCTCTCATATACAACATTTTTCCTGCATAAAGTCGTGTGACCCTTCCCACTTCTCTCAGTATTCTTTTCTTACCATTTCCTTTGCACAGTTTTGTATCTTGTCTTACCATGTCTGAAGGGCATTAAATATTTAAATTATAATTTAAAATAATTATTGTATAAGTTACTCCTATGTACTTGTTAATCCTTCCATGTTTGTTTGAGGCCTCCCCTGTCCATGAATAGGCTTGGATTAAGGCCAAAGTAAATTTCCGTGCTCCTAGGGCCAACATTGCGAGATCTTCCTTCACCTCAACTGAATAGGTAACATGACTGACAAAGACATTGCTGTGGGTAATTCCCAGTATTCCTACATAATGAAATTTGTGAATATAATTTGATTCATATGCAGGTTCACATCTCTTAACCTAATTATCATCAGTGAAAAAGTCTGCAATTGCTGAAGAAGGTGCAGGGCCTCTGGGGTCAGAGAAAAAATGAAGGCCACACAGAGAACACAGCCTTGCTCGGGAGTGTTAGGAAACAGCACATGCTTGCTGCTGTGCCCATGACATCACCTGTAGCCAGTCTTTTGACAGAAATGACTGTAGGCTGTCCTTGATTCCATATTTTGCAGTGTGGGTAAGTAGGTGATGTATAGCACTAAATCCAATCCTGGGTGGCATCAACCTAGAAAAGATTTCTTTTGGTGCTTTTCATGCTTCAAAGTGTACATATCTTTTTTTTGAGGTCCCCAGTTCATACAGGGTACCTTCTAAACCAGTTGAACTATTGGGGTGGAAGCCATTCATGGCCATTGGCTGATTATTCCTAATTTACATTTCCAAGTAAATCATAAGGTGTTGGTCTGTCATCCCACCAGTTTTTGTCATCCATGAAGTTGCTGACCCCCAGCTTCAATTTGATGTCAAACATATATGTTCTGTGCTAAGAGTTGTACACCTTTCTACATTCAAGTTGGAACTTGCAGCAGGGGACCTCCTTTTTCTTGTCCAATAGTCAACTTGAACAAAAGGGCAACCTTAATTTTTTCTGCTGCAAGTCCCAACATGTAATGCAATCCTTAAAATCTTTTTCAAGTCATTTATTTGATCATCATGATAAACCAATCTTGGGTAGCTTCAACCTAAAAAAGATTACCTTTTTACATTTAAGTTTACATATACCTAGATGACTTATTGCTTTATATATATATATTCTATATACATCAGTATTTTAACCCTGAGGGCCTGGATGAGTTCTTGTGCTGTCCTCCAGTTGTGCCACTTTTCACCTCCACAGCCATTTTTTAGTTCCAAGGCCCATTTAATTAATTCAAGAGTTGGTCCAGTAATGCTTGCAATGTTAGTTTACTAATCTGGAAAACCTGTCTGCAGAATCCCTGAACTGAGTCTGGCAATTTGACTATCTGCATTGTTCCAGGAAGTTGGAAATTGCATCAGTTGCTGGTCTTGGAGTATACAAGTATGTGTGTGCATCTAATGACATCAAGTTATACTAATGGCCCACATCCACACCATACCTCCTTATGATAAGAACAATCAAATTGCACAAATCTGATGTTCTCACCAGATTGTTACCTTTAGGCAACTAATACTCCTTACAAAATTGATCAAGTGCCTTTCTCTGAATTGATTGAAGTTCCTCTGGAGATGGAATGTGACCCAATCTTTTTTGTGCCTCGGTTTCCAATACTTCCAATTCCTGCTTGACAGACAATTGAAGATAGCAAGAAAAAACTCAAAATGAGCAGCAAATTCTTGGAAGTTTTATGGATTTCTTTTGAGAGCATAGATAGCAGCATAGGTAGCAATAATAGATCTTACTACTTTTTGGAGTTTAACAGTCTGTGAAATGTCTCAAGGTATGCTAATTTTTCATTGGAATATCAGGAGCTTAAGAAAAAATTTTGATTAGGTGAATTTGTACATTGGCCAGATGAATAAAACTCCAGATATGTTAATACTTACATGAACTTGGCAGAAGCCAAATGAGATTGACATACAACAGGAAATGTCATGGAAGCTAAATGCCAAACAGAAAGGAAAGGCGTTGGTATTATGTTTGCAATATTAATGTAATGGATGTAGAAAGTCTTTGGATTGAGATTCAAGTTTCAGTTAATATTGATGGCAGACTTTTGATTGGGGCCATCTACAGTATTACCTGAAGGAAAGCAACATATCAATATGGGGTAATACATATCAAAAGTGCAAGAAATAGAAGTACTTAAAAAAATAAGCATTAGGATTATGAGCTTTGCAAGATATACTGTGGAGACCATACTGAAGATCTCTTTCTTTTATGAATTTTGCCATAAGAAAATTAACTCAGTTTCATCTTTGTGAAATAATTTTTCAAGAAAGTGTAATTCTTAATATCAGAAACCTTAAGCTAACCAGGATTGCTGACTCCCCACCCTTATGAAACTAGAGCATCTACAATGGGAAAATTTGAGATACCCAGAACAAAAACAAAATTTGCAGAACAAAACATTGTACAAGAAAGATTAAGAATATTTAATGAACTGCCTGAGGAAATAAGGGTTGCTAAATCAATCCAAATCTTTGAAGCCAAATAATTAAATTATTTTCATGAAAAGAATCTACTATAGAAACAAGCTCCATCCCTAATTGGCAGATTAGGCTGACTAGATCCCCATGGAAAAAAACAAACAAAACAAAGCTTTTTTTTGCATTCTAACCTGGTCATCCAGGGCGAACCCAATTGGGTTCAATGAATGGCCTTCTTGTCCATTATTTGCATTTGCATTATTTCTTTCTATTCCCTGCCTTCTTTTTTTTGTGTATTGTCTTTCACAGTTGTCATTGTCTCTACCTTCATCTTTTTGTCCTTGCTGGCAAATATGTGGAAATATATTCTATTCTACATTCTATATGTTGTGGTTAACAAGTGGGTAAGATCAGAATCAATTAGCAGTTCTTATGATTTGACACAATCTTTCATCTTCATGAAAGGACAACAGCTCCTCCAGTTGCCAAATCTGTTCCCAGTCGTCCATTTCAATTAGGGACAAGAAAAGAGAAAACTCAAAATAAGCAGCAAAATCTTGGAGATTACATAGATTTCAATTGAGAGCATAGATAGTAGTATTGCTTGTTGGACATGCCTGGCTCTCACATTATAGAAATACATATTCTTATGCACTATGTGCAACAATGTATATTGTATATGTATAGTGATTAATTATTTCACCAAAACATAAAATGTTTAATTATTTTAGGTACAATCACAACTTGTGTCCTTGAGCGAGAATAAAATGAACTAGCTCAGGTTGAGCATAGGCTTCACAGCATTTCTCATTCCACTTATGAGTTGTTGATTTATCTCAAAAGGAGATCACAGTATTTCATGACAATCATGAAGGTCAATTGGAGAAAGAAAAAAATCATTTTGGATTTCCTTTGCCCTTTATTCCCTTCATATCACATCCTCTCAATTTAAAAAATGAACCAACTCCTGGACATCTGCATTGGCAAGAGGCACAACAAGAACCCTGATAGCCTTGCTTACCCTAATGATTATTATGTCTATGTGTATCCTTCCCAAGCTAATCATAAATATGGGATCAGTGAACCACAATATAAATGTAGGCCAGATGCAGTAAGCTTTGTCGTGAAGCAAATATTATTGTGGCATTTAGATGGCACAGACCTAGATATTTAACGAAACTAATGAAAAACTAGGATTGATCTCAAGCAACATTCCACTCAACAGGAACTGCAGATTGTGTCTGACAAAAATCCCAAGGTCTGCAATTTTCAAGATGTGAATTTTGGCACCACAATTCAAGTCAAAAAGCAGGGAACTTGGAATGCTTTGAAGAGTAGAATGTTAAAAAAAAAAGTCATGGGGGGAGGTGAAATAAGAGCCATGATGAGAGTATCACAAACACACAAGTGCAACTCCATCCATTTGACTTTTCCATATGCAAAAACAAGGTCAAAAAGCAGAGAGATTGGGAGGGAGAGTGTGCCTTGATCCCTCCCTCCCTCTCACTTCTCGATTCTGATGTGGGGATTCTTGAGAGGATCAAAGAGGGGATCATACTCCCCATCCCCACGATTGAGCCAGAGGAGAAGGACGAAGAAGATGAAGGCTAGGAAGAAGATGAGAGCCAGTAGAGGGCCATATCTCCGGAGCAGTGGGAGGTTCCCTCGGGGGTGGGGAGGTCCCGTGATGCTCCTGCAACAGAATCAACAGCTTTTGTCTCAAAATTCTGGTGGTCTGGGAAAAATGTAATTAGAAAAATGCATAATTCAATTCCAAGTTTGTTCCTGAGATCAACCTCCCTCTTTGCGATGTTACATTTCCTGCAATTCGAGTCTGGTGGGACTTTGGTAACAGCATACTGCATACATATGAACTCAATTCACCCAATCAGGGGGAATGCTCCAAACAATTTGCATGTGACACTAGCTACCACTGTAAGGTTATGACTGGATGATTAGCGATAGGCTTTGACACAAAATTGCATTATTGCATATTGAAAAAATTGAAGGCCTTGCTTCTGAATATGCGAAATTAGCATCTGCAAATTTTACTGCCATTTAGTGCTAATACAGTACTTCATAAGTAGAGAACTCAGAAAAACATATATTCTATCATAGTTTCAGAGCAGTATCTTGCACTCTAAATAACGTTATTTTCCTGTTTGCTCCATAAAGCCCTAAACATGTCATCAAAGTGAGCACAGACTGACAAATGGAGAGCTGTCTCACCTCCACCATGTCTGCAAGGGACTTCTGACAGTTCTCCTCCTGTACTTGCTGGCAGGCTCTTCAGATTGCTCAAACATGGACATCGAGGAATCTGCACTATCCACCAATCGCCGTGATGTCTGAGGGGAAGCTGAGAGGATGGAAGGAAGCAGAGACCATGACATAGATGAGATTTACAATAATGGCAAGCAATATCATCCAATGCTTTACACGTACCATAGTTGTTCGTATGAAACGATCCCTGCGAGACATTCTGCGAATTCTTATTTGTATCCCACTTGTCAACTTGTGGAGGACTAGATGAGCTACCTACTGGCTCAGGCCTCTGCTCAATATGAACATTCTTCCTGTCTTCTTCTTCTGGTAGCTATAAATAAAAGAATCCCTGACAATTCAACATGTGGAATCAAAAAAAGAAAATGGGGACCGACTTACAGGATCGAGGCCCAGTCCCAAACGTCCCCAGTTGACAAGTGACAGCTTACTCTTCAGTGCATCTGATACAGGGGAAGTGTTACTTGGGTCAGGAAAGATCTTCCCTTGGCATGTAGGGCATCGGTTCAACTTGTTCTCATCTGTCTGTGATCTCATGTCCAAGTCCAGGCATGACCAGTGGAAGACATCTGAAAAGATTGACTCAAATGAAACAGCAATGTCATCTTCAACTATATATAATCAAATTCAAACAATCGTTTCATTCATACGATAGCATTGTAGGCGAATGCAGGGCGATGCTGTGAGATGTCCTTGACAGAGCTGACATGTTGGACTGAAATCACTATCTTGGAGCCACTGCAAATATGACTTCACCACGCACTAGAAGGAAGTCATAGGTTACTCAGAATGTAGGCATGAACAATTTAGGTTAGGGAGTAGCTTCTATTCTATCAAACAAAGCCATCCACCATATTCCTGGAACTGAGCCAAAAACCGACACAAATGCGTACGAAATGGAGTTGCCTACATGAAATATCTTCTATACTTTCCATCAGCAAGGCATGGTGGCTCAGGGTAAAGCATAAATAGCTCTTGTCACATGTTAGCTGTGTACATGTCCTACTTTTGACAATGCAGCTTTCCTCTCATTTCTCTCCAAGTCCACATCCCAAATGAGAGATTAATTCCTAACCAATTCTAGCTTACTTCTTTGGAGTCACTTGATTCATGAGGTTTGAAAAAAAAAGGGCTCAAATTGAAAGCAAAACTAAATGCAAAGGGTGACAATTAGCAAAACTTGAGAGAATAGGAAGGTAGCTTCAAAAGCTTTGTCAGTAACTGCTGCTGCATCAGTAAAACCTGAACTATGAGTAGAATTCATACATCCAACAGCTTGGGCAAATACACCTAAGTCTATACATGTCTAATGCCAACATTTTTTAGTTACCAGAAGTGGTGAATTAATCAAACCTTTGGGAACAGGCTTATCCAACTTTGATTTTGGTTTGCAAATTTTTCAGTGACTTCATCCCCCAATAAAAATGTTCAATCTATGCTTGAGAAAACTATGTTATGCTTACAGATATTATTTCTCCACCTGGTAAACACACTGTCTTTTCCTTGCACATATCCAGATCTCATGATACCCCAATCACTTGGGTTCTCATCGAGATCAGGAGTACCGACGTTGACTTACTGACAATGGGGCTGTCAGGATTTTTTTTTTCTCTTGAAAACTTAGGGAAGAAAACTCTACTAAGTTTTTGTGGGGGTGAACAAATTAATCTCTCACTCTTGAATTCTCTCAAGAGAGAGAATCCAATTGAGGACATGTGGTTCATGGTAAAAATAAAAAGCACTCAACTCCAAGGTGTCTGCTTATTCCTATGTATAAAATCAAGAAATGACACTGCTTAAGCCCACAGTACTTCATTCCCTATCTCAAAGATAGCTTTCTTCAATGCAGTCCTGTTTTTCCCCAATTAGGCTGGCAAACGTCACCTACCCTATACCTGATTCTGGCCTGTCGTGTTCCATTCTTCTATCGCCCTGCTCTTTCAGTCAGTGATTTTTTGATTTTCTGAAAAGATATGTTCATCGAAAAGGAATCAGCATGTTGAGGAACTATTCAGAGGTCAAAATATGGCAAAATCAGGGCAGCCCAGGTATATGCCTACATATATCCCCTTGGGTCAACCCTAAATATATACTATGGCCTAGGCCTACGAAGCTATTCCGTCACGTTAGGCTTAGCGCTGCAGTAACATAAGAGTGAAACGAAGCGATCCTCACAAATTGGTGATTGGACACCATGCAATATTCGCAGACGTTGACCCGATGCTCGAAGCAGAACTGGTTCGTCACTTTTCTCTTGGGACACTTGCAGAGCCCCATTCCGCCCGAAACGAAAAGCTCACAGACCAAGACAAACCCTCGAACGTGAATACAGCCGATGGAGCTCGACGGTCAGGCCACCGGGCCTAGCGGACTCTGCCAAGCCAGGGAAGACGCCACATTGACAGAGCAGACGACGCGTCCGCACCGGCCCAGGGGCGATGAAACCCGGTTCTGATTCCTCCACGAGTCCAAGCAACTTTATAACGCGACCCATTGTTTTCAACTGGCCTACCAACGTGAGCGGAACTCATGTAAGAGGGCTCTCAGAAGTAAAAGAAAAGAATGTAAATCATCGAATGGACATGACTTCTGTCGTAATAACACATTTAGCCCTTTTTAAACGCTAAAATGAACAGCAAAAGAAAACCCTGAAGAACCGCCGCAGAAAATTTGGATCGTTTTCAAATCGCCTGTATAATTCCTCTCTCCTTCAGAGATTTCTTCGAATCAAGTGAATGGCCATCACGTTTTCTCTCATGGATCAGACATATTTTATCCTCCATGTGTTTCAAATGCATTGCAGCGAGTCTTGAAGAAAAAAGAAAGCTATCTAGATTTGATGTTGCAGTCGGTTTCACGTTCCAAATCGAGCGAGGCCTGTTTTAGCATGCATCGCAAAACGGGAGAAGGCTGCGCTCGACTTGAGGCAGCGGCCTTCGCTCTCCTCGCTTATTACGCCGTAAATTCTGGGAGACGGTATGGAAATTTTTTTTTTTTTCGGGAAGAGCCTGCTGGAAATATCGTTCCCCGCTTCGCCTTTCAACTATTGGGATTCTGATGGGAGTTTCCCGGTTGATTCTTGACGCCATGAGCTCTCTCGGCCCGTCGGAAGGATTCCAAGTCCGTGGTCAGTGTCAGCAGATGGAGAACATCATTCGATGTATTTTAGCTCTAGTGGAAGAGCATTTCCATCAAATAGCCCATGTGCAATACATTTTCCGCCATCTTGAGGGAATACAATTACGATTTCGGATGTTCGCCCGATAGGGTAATTTGGAGGAATAGGAAAAAAATGATACATCTGAATATGATGAAAATATACGATGAAAAATGATTATGGTAAATATGAATAATTACGATAACTCACTATAGTGATCCTTGACTCATATTTTCTTGAAGGGACTCAAATTCACAAAACACGCAATTCCGCGGGATTCATCGACGTCCACCTGATTTTATTTTTATTATTTTTTCACAGACTCCAAGGAGGCCAACAATCGAGAGAAAGTTCCAGAGGTAGTCCCTGATCTCATGAGAATGCCCACGCCGTTATAGTTTGTTCTAACTGCCCTATCACCACTGCGACATTTATATAAAAGAAAAGAATGCTCGTGAACTTATAGTGGAGTCCCTCTAAAACGATCCACTAAAACACGTTTCTATTTCTTCACTGTCCGGTTAGCAGTTGATCAACTAATTTTTTTTTTATCTAGGGGTGGATTTTCGAACAGAGGACTATCCGATAATGCAGTTTTATTCCAGGGAAAATACATGATATTTCCTGGAAATAAAGCAGCATTGTCGGATAATTCTCTGTTCAAAAATCCACCCTTAGTATTCTTCTTAGCATCGCTAGCCAGCCGTTCCTCTCGCAGATCTAATTTCCCGCTTCAACGTCCGCGTGATCCTCCTATATTCATCGTAGTCCGTGCTATCTCCCGTGCGCTTGTACGCATCCCATTTTCGCTTTTTATCCTTGATGAGAGCTTTGATTTTACCCGTAAACCATACCGGTTGTCTGCCCGATTGTATGGATTTCTTGGGGATGCATTCCTACATAAAGCCCTGCAATAACGTCTTGAACGCCCCCCACTGCTCCTCTACCGTCTGCCCACGGAGCCGCGACTCCCAGTCGATGCCTGAGACGCATTCACGTAGTCTCTCAAAATTAGCCTTCTTATAGTTGTACGAAACCTTCCTCGGTTTGGCCTTACTCTTCGTCCGCTTGATATTCCAAATGGTTGCGTTCCTGACAAAATGTCCCGATAAACCGGCTGCCCCATTAACTAATGGCCCAATAAAGTATTATCCACTGTAATCAAAGCCAAGCCAAGGCATTTACCTCCACGCTACCCATATAAAAAAAATAATCGTTTTTATTATTGCGTTTTATGAGGAAAATTGTCGATGGTGCCACACCTGCGGTTGCCGAAGCCTACAGCCCCGGAGGCAAGCGACATCCGAGTAAATAATTCACTTTGGGTTCACTTTGAGTGGTAAAATTCCCCGGGGCAAGTTAAAAATTCAAAAACTTAAACCTCCATACTAAAGCGAAAGACAGGATTATAGAGAGGGGGATTAACCGTTGTACGTTTTATGAAGGGATTACAATAGTCCACTTTCATAGCATGCACCTCACGAGATCGAGCCGAAGACTGAAACAGAAGAGAAAAAAATATTCTCAGTCTTTCTTCCCTCTCCTTTTCCCACTTCCTGTCTCCCATTCTAACTTTTTTCCCCNATAAAAAATCCCTTTTTTTTTATGGTGTTTCTTTCCCCGGCCCCCCCCCCCCCCCCGCAAGCGCTCCCCTCCGCAAGCCCCCCCCCCCGCAAGTGCCCCCCTTTGCTGGCGCCCGCCCCTAGAAACGGCCCTGTCTGTGATTCGTAGATACTAATACGTTAAAAGCAATTTTCCATTCGCATTTCATTTAGGACTCAATTCCCTATTAGACCAACATTCGATACTTGACGAATCGATGGATGCGTCGTTTCTGTGAATCCATTCAGATTGGACGATCATGGCCACTGTGTGTCTTTCGCTCTGTGACACATTCCAAAGAAAGGTGGGAACGGGCGGGATGGTCCCGGTGGGATCGGTCATGAAATACACGATAGAACATAAAAATATATATATTTAAAATGAAAATCTCAATCGTTACTAACTTACATCCACCCAGACATGCATAGAGTCGGAAAAGGAAGAAGGTGTTGTTGAGGAAACCGTCCAGAAACGGACCAAGCACTCGGGCACTATCAAGAACGAGAAAGAGAGGTACATCCTGTACCCTGAAAGTTATTTCGGATTAAGGGTCGGGAGAAAGCATGAGATGGAGGCGACTCCCTCCCCCTCCATGCCGTTACATCCGGTCGCCGCTTTGAGTTCCAGACAGACGTCTTTTGAAGGACGGGTTTCTTGTGCCGAATGAGAAAAAAAAAACGATTTCAAGCATTGTTCTGTGTCAGATCGGTATGCGCAATGCGATTTTTCTCATACGTTTTCGAATATTTGTTTCATCACGGACTTGGGATTAGGCTGAAACGATCAGTCAAGTCCCTTAAAGAGTCCGTGGGGTTTATCAACTAATCTTCAGCACTTGTTCAACTAGAAGTTTTTTTTTGTGAGGTCCCCAGTACTTACAGGGTACCAGTAAGGGTACCAAAACCAGTTGGACTACTGGGGGCGGAGGCCAATCATGGCCTCAGTTGATTCTCGTTTAAATTTCCCAGTACTGTAAATAAACTTCACAAGGTAGAGATGGGGTCCGTCATCTCCACCTCCACCATGCAGTTGCTGATCCCCAGCTTCAATTTGATGTCACTCATGTTCTGGGATAAAATGTGCACACTTCTCTATAATCAAGTTGGAACTTGCAGAAGGTGACCTCGTTTCCTTTTCCAATAGTCAACTTGACCTTCAGACTTAATTTTGCAACGATTTTTCTACACATCCAATGGTAATCCACAGGCAGTCCACCACGAAACATTTATATGTTATCATAATCAATCTTTCCAGTCTCTTCATTTTTTTGCAAAATCATAAGAATTTACATTTCACAGAGTTACATCCACATGAAACTATTGCCTACGTATCACAGATAGAATCCCTCAGTATGATCCAAAATAGAAACAGACCAAACATACCAAAAAGACCCGCTCAATCAATTTTGCGGGAAAAAACACAGTAGCTCTGAACACACAATAAGGTGCATTGTGCTTCCACCAATTTACTACAACTTTGGGGGCATGATATCACATCTAAGTACACAAAATAAAGAAAGAAATGGATTGATTTGCATAATTCATGATTTTGCTGTAGTCAGGCTAATGCAACACAAATCCCTCCAGATGACAGTGCATCTGTTTCAACAGTGGTAAAAAATCCTGCCTTGACAGTAATATTATCTGAATGCTTTTGCCAAATTTTTCTGCATTAATACTTTTTATTGTTTGAAATATTTCTATACTTAACAATTTTATTCTAAAACACACCAGGTTTTTAATACTAAGGATTTCTTATGTACTTTAAAACATCATTTCTACAGAATACACTATTTCCCAAGAAGGTTTTTTCCCTTATTCAAAACATTCCTGTCATGGTAAATGGTTGGCAAGGAACTTTGGAAAGAAATAAAAATATTGGACAGATACTTCATAAACTACCCAAAATGTCTCTTGAAAAACCATGTGTACCTAGTTTTGAACTTTTCTGAAAATAGTTTTTCAAACTTTTGCATGTGCTGGGAATGATACCATCTTGCAACCAAGGGGGGTGCATGTCCGAAGAAGAAATGATATCCTCAAAATCTTTTTCAAGTCATTTATTTGTGCATCATGTGAGTAGCTAGCTATAAAATCCTTGACAGAGACAAATCTTGTATCTAAAATAAGTTTACATCTTCCAAAGGTTAGAAGACAAGGGACAACAACCTCCTACCAATTATGATTGGTCATTTTCTGAAACATTGATCCCTCATTAGCCAAGATGCACCTGGACTATTTTTAGCAAACTTATCTTTCTTCAGCAGATCTGAGTATAATTGAGATTCAAAAAGCACAAACTTGAAAAATCAAGACTGAATACAAAAGGACAATGACTAGGATACAACAGGTGCTTCACTAATACCATACAAGAACACATGTGGATAATGGCTGACAGAAAAAGCATTGCACATCAGTTGACAAATTGCAATCCATAAAGCTTTTACACAAAAAATTGTAGATGAGGCATGTTAATGTCATCTTTTTCTCAGAATCATAACTTGTACAATTTTTTGAGTATAGTATGAGATCTGGCAGGGATAATGTGTCTAAAACCCACAGCAAATCTTCAAACAATCCAAAATGAGATAACCCCTCCATTTGTGCTCATAACAAGAAAGAGTGCCTAATAAGGTTGAAGAGGTGGAAGCATAAAATTTCTGTGGGAAGTCATGCCATAGAATTCTTACTCTTGCCAGGAAGATGCATCAGGGATATGAGTGGTAATTTTATGACAATATGAAAGTGCTACCATCACAGAAAAAGGAGGATATACATCCTAGCATCCCCATATCATCACAGAACATTACCTTCTTGCAACATAAAAGCATTCTAATACTGCAACCTTGTAAATAAGCATAAAAAAGAGGCAGTACCATGAAGCATAACAATATCAGTGTCTGTCCTTGAATTATTCATCTGAGAAGGAAGCAGACAGAGAGGCAAACTTCTTATGCCACAAAATAAGATATTGCCTCATGGAAACTCAAGTCTTCACTCAGAAAAGCAAATTATTACAAAATCACAATGAAAAACTGCATCCATCTATGCTACTTCTTTGGAAGAACGATGGTAAATTCCAGTGTAAGTCTTAAAACTGGTCAATTCAGCAAGAATATATTTGCCTCTTTGGTACATCAGAAAGACTTTTAATGATGCCCTTTAAATTTGGAATCATGAACAGCCTTGCTTGGAGAAAGGGATGCAAGTCAAGACAGATGCCCTAAAGGAAAACAGAAAAGCTAAATATATCATAAGTATATGAGAAAACAGACCCATCAAGTACTTAAGAGTTCAGTTTAGCTGATGAGTGTTCACAAAGTCTCACAATGAAGGTGAGAACTCTGGAGCAAAAAACTGAGGAAATGAGGATATGAATTCAGCGCATGACATAAGAAAAATCCTCTTGGGTGGTTTGTGCAAGATGATAGTATTGGAACATTTCTTTCAATTCTCCCACAAGGGTCTCATATCGATAGGCAATGCGAATATCAGGAACATTGGTCCTCTTGATGTCATTACCTGCAACCCCCTCTCGCTCATAATTCGGGCCAATCCAATGCTGCTTGGTCTGAAAATAAAAAAGAAGAATCATGTAAATGGACCACCCCAATGCAATGAATCATGAGCAAAGCAAGACGATCTTACATACCAAATGTGAAAATCCACTCGTGAGGACAGAATTCCGAGCCAGCTCACACATATCACATGAGCTAAGCTTCCACACTTGAGCTGCAATGCTGTATTCTTCCATCAGTGGTTCCTGTCATGGGATATCATATGATGGAATTAGGCAAGCTTTTGGGTATATACTATATTCTATCAAAGTCATATTATGAATATCAGCATACCTTGGTGAAATGGAACATGAGGGGATCATCAGTTGAGAGAGAGACAGGGAGGCCTCGGGCTGCAAATTCCGGCAAGGGATTTCGGTTATAGTTGAGGAAAAGAGAGTTATTACTCAGAGGACTCATGGCAATGCCGATTTGGGCCATGTAGAACAGATACTGCAGCACAGGAATCTGTAGAAGGTATCAATTCAACAATCACTTCATTTCAACATCACATGAAAATGTAGGATGACTATGGGTGTACTTAACTGACCTTCCGAAGAAGAAGACCATGTGAGATGTTTTCACTAAGCATGTAAGCAGCCACCAAATGCTGAATGGCTCCAGCTTCACCACAGTGAGGACGGAACACAAACGTGTTCAAGTCGCGCTCCTTGCGGAAATGATTCAACACTGCCATGTTAGCATATGTGTAGAAAGCATAGTATGCATAGGGAGGATTCTCAGCTATCTTCCAGTTGGCTGGACTGGGCATATCCTGGGTCGGAGTTGCATTGTACTCAGGCTTACTCTCATCGTCCACAGAGTCAAATCCCACAACCTCCAGAGACAGAGAGGGATAAGGACCAAATGAGTAAGAGAAACATTCAGTGACATCTGAGAAATTACTTACACTCTTGCTCAATATACATGATACAATATAAAATTATCATTAAATTCCTTCTTTTTTTTTTTTTTTTTTACAAGTTTTCAATGTTATGATTCACTGCTGATTTATACCTAACTTTTTCTTTACAAAGGATTCCCATAAAGGATCTGATAAATAAACTTCAACATGCATGTATCTTTTCACTTAATTAAGGGCTGTAATTGAGCTCTTGCTGTAGCATAAGTGAGAATTTGCATTTCAAAAAGTTTTGAATAAGTTCTATGATTCCTTGGTTTTGGATAAACACAAGGCAACAATGGGGTTGAAAAAGGAGTGCATGTTGTGCAGCTGCAACTATAATAACCCTCCACAAAGTCAGAGCTTTACTGCAGTGCTTCTATCTAAATTGTCCACATATTTTACTATTAGGTAAAAAAAACAGCAGGTCACAACTACTCCAGAAAAAAAAAATTCTACAACACCAGGATACCTCTCAGAATAGATGACAGCAACTGCAAGTGTTCCATGCTACTCATAAAAGTCACCATTATATAATACAAAATACTGTAAGGTCAAAGTGCATATTGGGCAAAAATGCAAATGTGGATCACACAACACAAGTTTTTGAAGCTTACATGTTGCAAGAAACGATGCAGATCAGGATGACTGCTGGGGTTGTTGGTCACTTCAAAAAGGGGGAGGAAGATGTTGTCTATGATCTCCTGGAAGCTCTGCACCAAGTTCTTTGAGTGAAACACATCACTGCATAAATATAACAAAAGATTATGTGCTGTATCACCTAAACCCTCAATCTATCACAGGAATGAAGACATGAATAAGAGATCCTTACAAGAGCCTTGGAATCTGGATGAGCCACCTGACGTTGTCAGAATAAACTTTATGCTGTACAGCCCATCGGGCCAACTTGTCCCACTCATCCTTCTTGCACCCATATATGCTGAGACGTAATTCTGCATTTTGATACTTGCTTTCTTCCAAGTCTGACATGACCTCCTGCTAAGACATAAAGTAAACACTATTTCCATCCTGACACCTGGGTCATGCACAGCTAATAAAGGAATGCTCACTGACCTTGACCATTCTTGCAAAGTACATGCCCCCAATGTAATTATCAGTCTTGAGAAAGACCTCCCTCAGCTTGCTTTCACCAACTGGGTTATATTTTGCATTGAACTTGTCAAAGCGATGAAATGTCCCTCGATCCTGTGACCAAAAGTTCTGTGTCTCCAATAAAAGGTGGCCAAAATGGAAATATATTCAGAATGTTAAAAGAAGTTAAAGTAGGAGACTTACAGCATGGACATCGAGCATATCCACAGATAAGTCATAGGCTGAGATTCCTAGTGATTCAAACATCTCCTGAAGAGTGAGTTCTTTTCCTTGTACAAAGCAAACTTTCTGATCTGAGCTCCTTCTCATGGCTTTCTTGATGAAACGAAGCAAGTGCTTCTGATTCATACATGATGCTGCATGAATGTGGGTATCAACCTGAAAATATAAAGAGTGATGCACATCTGATTTAGGCCTAAGACCATGAAACATCCATATGTAAAAAGGCATGTTTGACTTTTATAGCAAGTGAGGACAAGATGGTGGGAGGAAACTGGATCTCTTTGGTCATATTGACTAATTTAGTCATGCAATGACACCAAGAGGGGAGAACTTCCACCAAATGTTTCCTCTGCTTGTATTTTAGTGATGCATAGCTAGGTAATCTTTTCTCGCATAGCTTGTCTTCCTTATGTTTATGGGCCCTAGAATTTATTATTTTTGTAACCAACTGTGGTAGTGTTATGAGAAATTCCTGTCCCTAAATGTGATTCATATTGATGTCACCTAACATGGCTGTCATAATAAAGTGTACACATTAGTTACCCTTCATTCTCAGTTCAAAATTCTCATACAAATTCCAATTGGTTGATTGCAATGATTGCACCCAGTAAGTGAGGCGTTTCCATTTTGTTTCTCATGAAATCTTCTCTAAACAGCCCTTGTCAAAAATATCACAGGGGCACACTTCTCACTCATTTAAATGGGTTCCCTTGTTGTGTGGATGAATCCAAAATGTGTAAATGAACATATATAAATTCAGGCAAAATTGCTTTATAGTAATACAAGATGGAATGCAAGAGCTAAAAATATTGACAAGAGTGCATGTTGCATGAAAAATGAAAAGGAAAGACCTCCCTTCCAGAATAGGAAATAATGGGAGCAAGAAGGTGGTTGCAAACTTAAGATGGCATGCCTCAATTAAGCAACCTGGTCCTCACTTGGTGTCTCACTTGCTATAAGACAGGAATATTCATTTTGGCAATGATGAATCAAGACTCAACCTTTCGAATATTGTAAAAGTCTCTATGAGGGACAGACTTCTGCTCTGCCAGTTCTTGCATGTCATTTAGCAGGTTGTGAAGGTGGAATTTGGAGGATAGATACTGAAGGCGTCGGTAACAGTAGGTTTTCCTGAAAAAAAAAAGTTCAAATCATTCCAAATATGGTTCAAGACTCAAAGGTTCTGATAGTCAATGACACTTACAGAGGACCATCAGCAATCATTGCACACAGAATGGCAAAATCTTCACAATACACATTCCATGAGGGGATCCCAGAGATCTTGTTGACCCCACCCTTGTCAATGACCTGGAAAACTCCACTCTCGAGACTAATAGTGTATTCCAGGTCAGCTGGGAAGGCGACGTCAAAAGGATCCCCAACAGATGGAGGTGGATTAATTGGATGATCTATAAAATTTCCAATACAGAATGTAATTAATCAATAGTGCAAACAAGTCCACTATTGAAGACAGTTATTACAAGCCATCTGGTACTCACATGGATGGCAGAAAAAAAGTCAAGAGTCCAATTTAGTTAAATTTACACATTTTACAGTCCAAGGTGTCTTTTATATTGCTTTAAATAGTATCAGACACTCCCTAGTGCATGAACTTCCATCAGATTAGCAAAAAAATTAAAAGGAAGCATGTGACTCTCCAAATAAAAATGGATCTCTGCTGAGATTAGCATGATGAGAGAAAATAGAAAATGGAAAAAAAAAACGGTTATTTCTTAAATTCTACAAAACCTAGAAACAAAATTCAAATGGCATGATTAACTACAATGGTGGGAGATTATGTTATGAAGTATTCAATCTCACCTGCAATCAATTGATACACCTGAACAAAGAAATTCTGAATGACAGCTTTGAATTGGAATTGAATCATTGGAAATCTTTTCAGCTTATTCAGAATGGCATCCTTGAGCTCCTTGAGAGTTTTCAGATTGAAACACCTCCCATGTGCTTTGAACTGTCCTGCATAAATCAGGTTTCTTGCAGAAGCCCCAATCCTTGTACCCAGATGGAACAAAATTCTATCCCTTGTCCATTTCAACTTGCTCAACAATATATGGATAGTTGACTTCAATGGGCCATCTCCCACTCCATACTACTTGCAATATTATTTTCTCACTGTCTCTGAACTTCAGCTCAAATAATATTCTTTTATCATAAAAATGCATTGTTTGATGTTGTCATTTGCCACTTCTAGAAAGATGTCAATAAAATACAAAACCTGATGCACATGCACTATAAAAATCTCCTGCAGTTACTGAATATCCTTTCAAAATTTGAAGCTCATGCACTCACATTCAACGTAGATATTAATGAATTCTTACAGGAGTGCCCATTATTTGTCCCAGTAATTTAGCCTTATGTGCAGGTATACAACTGCAACAATGTCTAATGCAAGCAGTCTTACTTTTAGCCTAATTGTTTTGAGATTTGTGTGGGGGCTCTGTAAGGAAGGGGAACCAGTAGTAATCTCATTATTGAATTAACAAGAAATGTGGAGCTATAGCTTTAGCTGAAACAAAGGAAGTGAGCATAACTGATGATTGAATACATGGATATCTAAAATGGTTTGTGTTAAATATTGGCCAATATTTGAGAAAAACCCCTATAAATCTAATAGGCCACATATGTTGAGAGTTGAGATACATTGGGGCAAGAAAAGGTAGGCCTAGACCCAACCTGGAGATAGTCCATTAGGCCAGGACCTAATGTTAATGCAACTCCTAGAGAAAACTCTACTCCACTTCCTAAGATATGAATAATTGGTTTGCAGAATTTTTCAGACTTTTCAGCATATTTCACACAACTTAGAATTAATAAAATCTTAGCAGAGGTCCCTTTTTGCTGGAGGGTCACATGATAAATACTATCCTCCTAAGTATAGGTCTGCTCAAAATATTCATGATAATCAAATATGAATTACCCACTTCCCTTGGCCTGCTTACATCAACAAAAAGTTTTTTCCATTTTGTCATGGTTGAGTCTTGAAACTGTATTAGTTTGATATCTATGAAGCAGGAAAAGAGAGTCTATTCATGATGAAGGATAAGAACTTAAAATGCTTTTGTGCTCTTTCCCAATGCCTTGCAACAAACACATAGGCATAAGAAAAGACCATGAGATAAAGAAAATAATCTCAAAACAAGCTGAAAGTGGTTAGCATGACACACCACAAGGTGAGACATCTCACTTTCAGGTTTCAGTCTATGAGACAAGACACAAGGGCACTCATTATCAGAGCCCAACCCTATGGAAGATTAGTATGACAGAATTAGATACTTTCTTTTCTGAAAAAAACCTTCAACCATGATTAGTTCTAAAAAGCCTCAAAGACTTGCCTTATCCAATAATAAATGCACATACTGACATCAGTATCTAAGGACCTCTGTGCGACTTCCATGACTAGCCTGCTTAGCATGAACCACAGAATGGAGCTAGAATTACCCATTACCCTGTTCCTACCAGAGCTCAGACATCTCCTGATTCAACACAATCAATACTGGATCAAGATCCTCCACAGCTCTAAGGTCTAAATAGGATCACACTTCTCCCTCAGTTCACTGCAGAACCCTAATTTTAGATTTTCCAGAAAAGCAGCATTGTCATACATGCTTGATGTCCTCGACATCAAGAAGTATAATTGGGGTTGGGGTAGACAGATGATTGGCAAGACTACCAGAACATGGGAAACAACAGGGTATGGGCAGCACTGCAAGCAGGGAATCCTTTCAAGGAAACCACTTACTATTACAATTCTCCAGTGTCTTGTCTTTCCCTGCAAACAGAGGCTTCATTTCAAAAATGACCATATGGAGGAAAATGACAGAGTTGACCTCAGCAGACACAATGAGCACAAGAAAATTATAAAATGGCTCTTTTTTGAACGATCATGCCTGCTTACCTTGCAACGTGGGCTTCTCTTGGTTCTGTCCATCATAGCTAATATATGTGAAGGGCTTCCCATCATCGATGCAGTCGAGATAACGCTGTGTAGTTGGATACGTGCTCTGTTGCGCTGTAGTCATGTATTGACGTCTCATTCTCAGGGCTTGGGTCAACAGCTTGGCAGCATGCTCATGATCCTCTGGGGGTGTCTAAGATGGGAGTCATTGGATTTCTGATCAGTTAACGACCAACAGATGGAGCCACTCACCATGCAAAATAGCAGAAGTCAATAAGTCACCTGAAAGAAATCATCCCCAACAACACCAACTCTCTGAAAATTGGGGGCATGATGGTAGGCATGTTGTGCAGGGGTCACAAAAATATTGGCAGAATCAGGAACATCTGTTGGACTGGCTATCCCTGGAGTTCCATGTCCTGATTTAGTACCAGATTCTTCTTTCTTCTCTGAAGCCATTGACACTGACCTTAAACATTACATGAATACATTTATACAGGGTGATTGCTTGGGGACCATTATAATTATTTATAATCTTGGTACAAATAGAGCTAGATGCATGAAATTTAGCATGCAGAATCCATAAACATAGGAAAGTTATACTCTATGAATAAATAAAAAAACATGTTCAATGTGCCCTCCTCTGTCAGCAATCACGTGTGTGGTGTAATTCTGCACTATGGAGCCTCCTGCATATCCCAGGAAATGGAGTAGACTTTAGGTTCTGTGGCTGCCTTCAGGTATCCCAACCAGCATGGATTTGACTGGAAGACTTTGTTCTTTAGGTATCCTCAGAGAAAATTGCCACATGGAATGAGATTGGGGGGGGGGGGGGGGGAATGGTGGCAAGGTCAAAGGGGGGGGGGGGGGGGGGGGGGGGGGGGGGGGGGGCAATGGTGGCCATGTCAACACAGCGAATGTTGTTAGACATCCTGTGTGGGAACTTTTGGTGAGAATGCTGTCACGCAGATTCTCTGATATCTACAATGGTGGATTGGTATGGCCACCATTGCCTCCCAATCTCAATCCATGTGATACCTCTGGAGATACCTATATAAGAATGTCTTTTAGTCAAATCTATGCTTGTTGGTTGACCTAAAGGCAGCCACAGAAACTTAAGTCTACTCCGTTTCCTGGGATACGCAGCAGGCTCCATAGTGCAGAATTACGCCACACACTTAAGACATGTGATTGCTGACAGAGGAGGGCACATTGAACATGTTTTTTATTTATTTATAGAACATAACTTTCCTGTATTTATGGATTCTTGATGCAAAACTTCACGTACTTAACTTCATTCCTTAAAAGATTATGAATAACTATAATGGTCCCAAGAATAAACAATCACCCTGAAAATCAAAGACTCAATGATGATATCAAACAAATCCAATGTCAATCTTGCAATTTTGGTACACCTGCTGCCACTAAGGCAAAAATGAAAGGCCAATGCTAAATTCCAAGAATCAAAAGGGTTGAAAATCAGATCTTCCATAAGGTCCTACTTTCAAGGAAGTAATTCCTTGAAAATTACAGGTATCTACACAGCAACAGGACTGATACATGCAAATATTCTTATTTGATTTGCAATGATACTTGGATTGAAAAATTCACTCATGATACATTGCAAAACTGCAAAAACTAAAAAGCCAACGCAACAAATGGAATAATTTATTAATTTCTTCTCCATAATACTCTCACTCATCTTTATTGCACATGCTCAAACTGTGCACCTGGTCCAATACGCATATTGGGATGTGGATACCTTGTTCCTGCTTTAATTCCATTTTAGGGCAAAGATTTGAATCCAAACATAACATAATAATTGAAGGATAAATATTTAGGCAGGTGAAGAACAAATAGCATAAAAATAGCCTCAATCTATGAACATCTACAGTTTGTCCATGCAGACATGATACATGAAGCAAGAATAAGTTGATAAATGGCCACAACACCAATGTGACAATCTGAATTATACTCACTTTGCGATGTGACTTTGATCAAGACTGCCAGAAGAGGGCAGAAGAAAAAGAAAACTCCCATGAAATGCACAACAGTGAGCAGAATTGTAGAAAATATTACATTTTTCTGAGATACCAGGATTGTAGGGCTTACTTTCATCAAAACCAATATAATGTCCCAGGGAGGACAAATTAACTTTCCTTTTTTAGTGAAATTACTTTTATGACAGACAAGAAAAATACTAAAACTGTTTCCTTTAATTCTATTACCAGCAAGACTTGGCATTTTTATTTAATAATGAATCTGTGATTCAATGAGAGGATTTTGGCTTTTTTTTTTGGTGAGTGGGGTCCACAACAGATCTAGAAATCCAGAACAAATGGAATGGAGGGTTTGATCCAAGGAGCACTTGGCAAGGTTTTTTCAATGGACATCATCATTCTAAGGCTCATTGCTCACTGTAAGCAATTGTCAGTCCAGCAAAACCAATTAGTGTTTATAATTCAGCAACATATTTCTTCTAATGCATGGACTCATGATTTTTACCTTTGTAGGTGTCTGGAATATCGGCCTTTTCAGTCTGTTGTCACCTTACCCATGGAAATTTCAAACTATTTCAGTCAGTCAATGTCAGTATGTTACCTTGAAAGCATTGGAAGGGCCATGCTAGCTATTGCTTATTGACAGAACAGGTTGAACTAAGCAAGTGCACTCATTCTCATGGTAAGAACAAGGCATTTGCTTCTTTCTGGCTTCTTCAGGTTGCTAATCCTATTCTTGATTTTGGTGCCAGAAGGTGATCCCTTACTATTGATACCAATATGTGCTTTGAGTGACATCTTTTACACCAGGAAGAGAGCATTGTCAGGTGATGCTTGCCTTGATGAAATGATAAGGGTATAATTAGTCAGAGCCCCTTCACATGCAATAGTATTCAATTTACTCTGAAAAAAAATTTCAGAGTGAGCCATGTAGAACAGATAGTGTGGCATAAGCATCATGACTTGAGGCTAAGTTCTATAAGAAATCTTGGTATCTCCCTTGGTTTTCCCCCATTGTTGGATTGTCCATACACCCATCATTCATCATAAGGCAATTCATATTCTGGTATATTTTCAAGATAATTGGGGAAATGCTAGATGTTAACTCCTAGTGGTGGTGTACCAGAAAGAATCTGGTTGATTGATATTTTATGGCCAATCTTCCTATTCAAACCATGATATATGATCATATCAAAAATATGCCATCATGATGACAAGAGTATTCATTATACTATTGCTTCATTTTAAAAATGTCCAAGTGAAATACTTACCTCAGTCTCTTGTGAAAGAGTTCTTTTGCTTCGTGCTGCTCAATGGGAATACTTGGCATTTCATATGGAGCACTCAATTCATGACTATTCTGCTGCTTAGCAGCAGCCAACTTCATGATCTCAGAAGCTGCCTCTTTTCCAACACGAGAAGCAAGGATAGTTTCCTGGAATTCTGGTACTTTGAAGACAGAAGGAAAATCAACAGGGCTTCCTAAAAAAGGCAAAAAGGTTTTCAGCTGTTTCAATAGCTCCAAACATCTGTTTTCCTTGGAATTGCATGTGACAAAACTGAGAAGTAAATTTTACCTTCTTGGTCATCAGAATTTGGGATGATGAGATCAGCCTGGCTGTCTGAGCCCCTCATTGCCATGGCAGCCTCAACAACTGAATTACGGCCACGTTCCATATTCTCTGATGAGGAACTGTCACTAGACTGCAAAGTAATCTTTGTCAAGTTATAAGATGCCTCTATTCTAAGTCTATGCTATTGTTATATTAAAATTATTTCACTTATTTTTCACCTCTTCTGCCACCTGAAAGTGGCACACAGTGTAGAGAGAAATTTTTCCGTGGAAATTTTCAAGCACAAAGAATTTGAAAATTTTTTTACCATCACCAATGCAACATTGTTCAGAGTCCAGTGCTGCAAGCTAGTCCCTTTTTTTTTCCAGGCTCACACTTTTTTAAATGCTCTTTGAAATCAGTCAACATACAGTCAAAATCTCATAAATAAAAATTCTAAATTTGCATTAATCCCAGGAAAGGCTGTTGTTGAAGCATAAAAACAATCTTCAATTAAGATTTTTTGGCAAGCAATTGAGTTAAGTATCAAAGCAATGGCATGAGAAAGTCAGGTCACCTGCAATTACCTCTATGATGATTGCATTGTGTTCTGGAGAGGAGAGTAAGTGAATAAAAATTTAGAACTGTAGATCCAGGTCTGCCATGAGCAAATCAAGCTATATTTCTTTTCTCTCACACCCACTGTGGAGCAGGGGAAGGAGAGCAAAACATCACAATCCAAAGCATGGGTGACTGGTCAACATATATGAGATAGCCAAGATCACAAAATTTAAATGAGTGAAACAATAAAAGATTTCAAAATTTTTTAAAATAAAAAGTGAAAATTTCTCACTATGCTGAATATGCTATTCAACCTCTAAATATACCTGAGTGAAGTGCTTCCATGCCCACAAGCAGTTCTTGTGCAGATTCAAATAGTCTTACAAGTAGCACATGACACCAGGACGAGATCATTCATTGTTCAAACTAGGTATTAAGAAGGCATTGAAGGGAATGGACATAGACCTATGCAGAAAAACTGACTCCAGAGAGGTTTTGACCATAGAAAATTGTGGGCAATGGATGGTTGACACAATCGTACATCATGCTTAAAAATTCTACAAAAACTGACAGGCTAATGCAATCTTCCCCAATACTAACTAGTTACCATACAAGCACTAAGAAATTTAGTTTCTAAAAAAAATGAGAATGAGACTTGCAAAGATGGAGGTTTTACAACTTACAACTTACAACTTTTACAAACTTTTACATCCTGCGACTATCATAATGAAACTAAAGGAACTACCCAAGAGTAGTACTTTTCTTCACCACTCTACAAATCGGTACAACTGAAAGAAGCACAGAAGGAAAGATTCTAAAAAAGACAAGCAACTGCGTTTCTTTTAATGCCCCGAACAGACGGGAACAGACAAACATAATTACCATCAAGAATTATAAAGCCTGCAAGTCATGCTTAAGCTGAGTTATCTGAAAAACAAGATGCCTAGGCCAAGGTTTTCACGTTTCACCTTTGAGAATAGCAAAGCCTTCCTTATGCGGGCCATTCCGTGAGGTTAAAACGATTTTCTTGGCTAAAACATAAGCTAGTGAAATGAAAACGACGGAAGGAGTCAGAGAAATTTTAGGCTTACGCTTAACCTAGGCGAACTCCCCAACCTTCCCCACACCGAGGAACTCAAAACGATTCGCAGCAAAACAGACTCGCGAGAAAATGACATCGGAACCATAGGAACCGTCTGCGACGCCAAGGCAAGGCCAAAAAGGACGAAAAACATGCTGTAAATAAAAATCTCACTGGGTCTCCCTGGCGCGCAGAAGCAGCCATGCCAAGTACGTCCTCTCGTCAGGGTTGTTCGACCTCCGTCAGGGTTGTTCGGCGAGACTCGCGGCGCAAAGTACGAACCCGGGGGGAAGGACGGCGCGAACGGCAGGACCGAAGCGTAATCTTTGGGAAGACAGACGGTGGAGCCCGTGAGCTCTGGAGGGATTTCTAAGCACCCAGCGCTATTTCTGTGAATACGAAATAATTGAGATACGTGAATTCACTCTCGCGAATCCCAATTGATCCTGTTAACCCCCAGACGGAACCAGATTTACTCCACTCTAAAATTTATTTTAAAGAACGAGCTGCCACGCAAGTGAGAACTTCGGTTCGAGGAAACGGGACAGTTTTTTTTACAAGACCACATTTTCTATGCGTCTGCTGGAAGAATCCAAAACCAAATCTTCCTCGATCCCGAGAAAGATGACGCTATATTGTCCGCGTGACACTCAACTCATCGTGGCCGGATGTCACCACCGCAGGCGCTACTGCAGTGCCGCGAGTGGTAAAATGCACAATCGGTCAAAAATGGCTAAAAACCATATTTAATTTATAAGTGTTGGAAATTCGCACGGGAAAGCATATAAGAATCTCGCAACCCTCTGCGAGGCAATCGAGAAAGGATTTGTCATCCCGAGCTATTTTCACCCTGGAAAATCGCCATGTTATTGCTTATAAGGAGCCCTCTGTGGTAAGAGTGAAGGATGGGGCTCCTTCCATGCCTTCTCGTGACGCCGTTTCGGAAAATCTGGAAATACAGGAGCGAGTTTCTTTAATGCTGAAGAGAAAAATGAGGGGGTATATGAGGAGGATGGGACGCAATGGCCTTTCTATTGAGTCGTATCGCGGCGGAGATCTTTACGGACAACTGGCCGGAATGCCTGGAATGCGGTTTCGTCGAGTTGCCTCAGCGTTCTCGACAAGGGTGTAGCCTGAGCGGTTACGTTGGGGGGGGGGGGGGGCTTGCCTTGAATGGAAGATGGGGATCTGGGGATGTTGCTTCTCTTGGTTGGCGGCACTGGCGAGAGAGAGGGAGGAGAGATTGCATGCTCGGTCGTAAATGAATGCGGGTTTTATGGGTGCCAGGGGAAACATGAGTCGAGGCGGAAATAGCATCAATTGCACGATCATCATCTTTCCCAGAAATATTTTTGTGATTTGGATCCCTCTACCAAATTGGATGATGCTTCGAGTTCTGGGAACTCGGACCGGAATAGGAATGTCTGAAAACAGACCTCAAAACAGACAGTCCAGAAGTCTACGGTCCGTCGATTTCTAGAAAAGCTGGGAAAGGCGGAATTCTAGGGATTCAAAAGGAACTCATAGGCAGTGACGTGCCCTAGGGGGGGGGGGGGGGGGTAAGAGGGTCGTAACTCCCCTTGGGATACATTTTACAGGTTCCATTCTCAAAAAATTTTTCATTTTTCACACGCAGGGTGGGTTACCACTATTTCGTCAACCCCTCCCCCCTTAGGGATTTTCTGGGCACGCTACTACTGAGAAATCGATCAAATCAAGCAGATATGTTGTAACAGAGGGATTTACCGCCTCACCATTCATCGAGACCACAAAAGTCAATGCTAGGGAAACATTGTTACGCCAGAGGGGTTCAAGGAAAAAACATGTTTCAAGGTTTCGAGATAGTCTTTCAGGCGCGGAGCAGCTTTACATCAATCTGCCGTTCGTGTTTAATCTTTTAGCTTTGCTTACAATAACGTGCAGAACCAGGTGGACCGGAAATATTCGCCGTGCAGGTGGTTAGTCTCCGGTTAGTCATTTTTTCAAACAAGTGGGAACTAATAATAGAAGCGTAAACTTACAGCGAGACGTCCCGTCCGGAGAAGAGCTGGAAGGAGAAAGAGGGAAAAATGGGGAGGACGGGCTTCTGCTTCCCAGTCATCCATAATGGGTTACGAAGGGAAGCATTGACACGTGCTCCACTCCGGTTTCCTTGGGGATCTCGTGCGTTTCGTGCAAGGGCGATGGGGTTGCACCGAAGAGAGGGTGCTGAAGCTGGCACGAGGTTCGTGTTTCAGTGGGAAGGGAAAAGTCGTTTCGGTCACGCTTGTTAAAGGGTATATTACATGATTTTAGGGGCACCTACAATAGGAAAATTATTTAACAGAAGGGATGTGTAACAGCAGAAAATGACGGTCATGGAACAATGGCTGCCGAGTGTCAATTTGTAATACCAGAGACTCCACAGAAAATGATCAGATCCCTATTATCATCCCTTATCGTTTCAATGGCTACTAATGCGGTGACAAAGTCAAAAAGACAGGTCAAGCTCCTACTAAACTCCACGTAACTTTCGGGAATTTTCAGTCGTCCAACGGGGACTGGATTTCCAGACTGATAAATATATAGAAAACAAACAAAAGAACTGCTCGAGTTTCATTTCTTGTCCTTCCTGTGACTCACAATCTCAAGTCTTTATTGAACTTCGAACATTGGAGAGAGAACTTTGGAGTGACTGACACCAGCACATATAATCAATCATGAATTCGTTCCACAAGCGATCTGTCTACACTCTCCTCGGATGAGGAACTGAAAAGTCTACTCTGGTCCTAGGGAGAGGCCAGGTCTTCATGCACATCAACAGTCCGTAGCAAATATCAGGGTTGCACGACCGACATGCGGATCCAAGCGATGTCCACTAGATGGAGAGATTCACCAGAGTACATGAGGCACAGGACCGAGGAAGTCCGTGGAAATGGTATAAAAAGAACCGATCGAAACCAAACAGAAAACATCAAAAAATTAATTTTAAAAGCACAGACTTCCAGGATGCATAAAAAGCAGAAGGAATGGAAATTTCTCTCCTTAAAAAAAGGTACAAAAAGCAGGCATTATAGCATCACAGAATGGCGTCGTCAGGCTTCACTCTGGTTCAACAGGCTTCTCCTAAGGAGGAACAGGAAAATACTCATTAGTATTGGTACTTATTCACATGCAATTCATATACAAGACACTAAGGTTGACATCATGCACCATGAGGTTAATAGCAGGCTGAATTTGAGCTTTAGCAGGATAAATTGATCATGTGATGTTACTGAGAGCAGGGATGCAGCCCAGGAGAGACGATACTGTCCAGGGTTCTTTGGCTTCCTAATTCTGCCATGAGATTCCTGGCATTCCACAGCAAGGAATGGGATATAAATCCAGGTATCACTTCACTGTTCAGGTTATCTCAAGCCCTTTGCAGGGGACTACAGCAATAGCAAAAGCCAAAATATCAGAGAGCTGACAATTGTAACCATGAGCCCAGAGTCCTCAGAGGAATCCACAAGGTCATGAGTGTCTGGTATCACGACTCCAAATTCGGAGAGAAAGATCTCTCCAATCCTGTCTGGATCCTCTGGCATTTGCTGACAGAATTCTTCTGAATTCTGGGAGTCTGTCTGGATGCTGACATCCACTGATCCTTCCCTGCAGCAGGCATCGGTCTCCTTCCATTCCAATAGTGGTATCAGGAAATGGATAGAGAGAACAATGAGAATCTCTCCATAAAATGCACTAAAGTCAGTCACTTGCAAGTGGAAAAGCTTGCAATGGGATACTTGGGCATATTTGCAACAGCAGGACATCAAGGGTAAGTGCAGAGGGATTTGCATGAAGCCAAATTGGGAAGAGGACATAATGCAAGGCAGGATTCATCTGCTGAAGGGTAGAATCATCTGCCAAGTCTAAAACATGGGATTCAGTTGGCAGCCCAGCATTTTTGGTCTGACTTTGGATGCAAAGTCATTAGGCATACCTCTCTGAAGAGCAGACTATCTTCAGATTTGAAAGCGTGATCATCAGTTGCCGATGGGAGTATTCTTCCGTTATGCACTTCAACATCTTCACGCATCATTGAGCATTCTGAACCATGAGGACTGCTCCCTTCTGTGTCTCTATTCTGAGGAGAATCGCATTTGGGAATCTTCAAAGGAGAAGTTACATTATGTGCAAACTCAGCCTCAAGGGACTTCAGCACTATTTCAACAGCTTCCTTGAGAGTCAGATCCAGGGCAGACAAATCGAGTTCCCCACTCGCATGCTCTCTTCTCACTGCTCCCTTCTTGCCTCCATCTGTCAGTGATTCCCCATGGGACTCTTCAATTGGGAAATGTGTGCTGCTTGCTTCTTCGAAACTGATTAAATCTGGAGCATTGGAAACTTCAGAAGGGATCTGAAATTCCATCAATGTCCCTGAGGGAGACTCATGAACAACTGAACATGAGCTCATGGGTTCAATGAGAAGCTCAACTTCCTCATTCAGTCTGGCTTCTGAGGTAATACCAGATGCTATGAAATCACCAACTTGGAGTATATCATATTCTACAGCAGTTTGGATATCACACTTCAGTCTCACTTTTTCATCTTGATCAGAACACACAGTCTCAATGCAAGAGTGCTCAAGCAAATTTGGATTGAAACTGCCACATAATGGCAAAATTTCTTCCTTCGTGGCCAATTCTTGAGCAACATTTTCACAGACCAAGAAATCAAGGGTTTCCAGACCAAAATGGCTACCTTGCTCTTGAATCTGTGAAACATCTGTAGGGAGGCTTCCATGGACACTGCTACCACCTTGATTTTGAAATGCACTGATATCGGTAGGGCCAGCAGTAGCTTGCTCATTAAATTCATTGGTGGGCAAAATGGTACTTTCCAAGGTGACGATTTCAAGTTTCCCTCCCTCTACTTGCACCTCTGCCTCATCTTCATATGATCCTAAGTAGCCTGACACAGTTTCAAAGCTCTTTATGGAATCCAACTGGGCAAGTGATTCATGGATGGTGGGAAACAGGGAGACACAGTCCAAATCTGTAAGAGCTGGTACCAAGTTCATGGATGAAAGGAAATGCCCTGGTATATCTTCCTCAGAATCTTTGGATATGAACTGCTGGCTCCACTCCACCTCTTGACGTGATTTTATGCTTTCTCCTTGCAATAAATTCACAGGAGAAAGACTAGTTGCTGGTCTATTAGCATTGCATTCCTCATCACTGTGATTTGCTGCCAAAGGGGATATATATGCCTTCAGAGAGCCTTGCCCTTCTGGAATACTTTCAGCACTTTCTACATCCTCAGATTCAACTGAAATCAGGGGTTTTCCTTTGCTTAACCCTTTATCACTTACAATTTCTTGTTTATTTTCCCCAGAAGGTACAGACATATCATTACTCTCCCAACTAGGCTGCCCCTCCTCTAATGAGCCAAAGTCCACCTGCTGATCTAACCAAGCTTTTCTTGCCTCATCAATGGCAGCAAAAATTGGAACACAGGTGATACCATCTTGAGTACTGTCACCAACCACAGGCTGAACTTCTTTTGGGTCATGTTCAATAAGACTCTCTTCATCAATAGAAATTACTTTTTCAAGCTCATGATCATGCAGACACTCTCCATTGGCAGATAAAGCTCTTTCAGGCTTAACTGGAAATGAGCATTCCATGAAAACATGTTCTTTCAACACTGACTTGGCATTAATAGGGTGTTGCACATCTAGAAAGTCCAGTGAACCATCAATTACCTCCAATTCTCGAACAGGCAAAGCTTCAACTTCACATTTACCATTTCTGAAAGGCACTGGTGAGTGCAAGGAAGTTTCCTCATTGCTCAATTCCCTCTGTGTTTCATTGCAGACACACTCTGCTTTGGCTACATCACTGTCACTACCATCAATGCCTGTGAAGAGCCCTTTTGGAATCAATATTGGCATGGTTTCCCAGTTAATTTTAGGAGGAGAGTAGATTCCATCATACTTGGATTCTTCATTCATTTCATCTACATCTCCAGCTATAAAAACATTGGAACAGATTTGTGGGGGAGATTCACATGCGTCTGCATCATTCATAAGAAAAGGCTTTTGAGACTGACTGCTACCAAATATGTATGCTTCCTGAGGGATGACTTTTCCCCTTTCAAGTATAGAGGCTGTGGCAGGGGCTTCACAATGACTAATTCCAATATCCAGCCTCTCTTCCTCATTTCCCAGTGGAGTCATTTCATTCCCTGCAATGCCCTCATATTGTTGGAGTAAGGTTGTAGAGTGCTCTTCAGGATATTTCCCATTTTCATAGGTCCCTTTCATATGAATTCCATCTGGGGCTCCCTCTTTGACAAGGATGTCTTCATTCCCATCCAGATTTTCTGTCTTGTCAGTAGGTGCAGAGATAGAAAGAGCAGAACTGTCTCCCTCAGGGAGCACGAGAGGATAAGGAACTTCCCCTGCCAGAATCACTCCTGCTTCATCTTCCATACAAGAGTTCAAGCATTCTTCCTGAATATCTGACATAGCTTGCTGTATGTGAGGCACTGCTTCACAGCTCTCAATATTTTCTTCAACAGTATCTCTGCTGCATATAGACTCCTCAATCAAATCACCATCAGGGAATATTGCATTGCTCAAACACTCTTGGAGAGAAGCATCTGGATAAACAATGCTACTTTCATGCGGTCTCAGCACATCTTCAAGCTGACAGTGCTTTTGTTCAAAGTTGTTCTGTATGGACACACTTTCAACCTTAGATAATTCTTGCCTATTTTCAAGAACCTCAGACTGGGACTCTATAGCAGTTGTCATTATTTCTGGTTTGTTTTCCTGAAAAGAGTGGGAGGAGTTTGTCACATTGTCATCAATCACCGCTTCCAAACTTTCCCAGTTCTCACCCTCATCTGCAACTGCTTCCATGGCAGTATCATCACTGTCATAACATGTCTCAAGCAGACTGACATCACAAAGTGTTTTTTCCATGCAACATTCTTCTTGAATGAGAAAATCTCTACTCAAGGAATCACCACTTGTGCCTCTGCTACTCTCTCCAACAACCTCATCCTCAACCTCCTTCCCCACCATTCTGGGAAATTCATTCACTCCCTGCTGGATCACCCCATCCTCCTCACCTCCATCTGAATGCTCAAGACTTACTTTCTCCTCCCTGTGATGGTTAGTAAAGTCAAAGGGAGCTTGATCTTGTGATAAGTGGGAGCTTCCTCTATCACCAAAACAGGGTTGACTTGCATCCTCATGCTGGCAGGCAAGGGTATTTATAGCTGATGCAAATGGCTTCACTTCAACATTCTCTTGAGTTTGGACTGTCCCTTCAGTCTCACTTTCAGAGAGTGGGGGTTTTGCTAAAGCATCAAAAGCATTGTCAGCTGAAGTAACCACCTCTTCATAATGATCTAGAATCGCATCCAGGGATTCTTCAATACTCAATTGGAGGACAGCAGTACTGGGTACCTCATCACTTGGAAGACACTCTTCAAAGAATTCCACTGATGAAGCAATGACTTCATTCTTCTCAACATCTGAACCACATTTGTCATCTCCCATTACTTGAGCATCCACCTTCATCCCATCTGAAATTTGAGCATGGTTAGCTTTCAAAGACACTTCAGCAGCAACTGGATCACCAAATGTGCAATCCCTCTCCTGGGCCATTGCAGATTCCACAGATTCAAGTACATCATTTTCTGGATGAGCTGCTTCCTCCTGATTTGATACTTCTGAAGTGACAGATTCTTCCAAAGGAATATCTGACACTTCTGCATGTAGTTGGTTTTCAGTCTCATCAGCTTGGTAGGTAAGAATGGAAATGGCTTCAGGTTGTCCTGCAGATGAATATGAAGCATCACTCAGAGCTTCCAGTTCAGTTTCATGAGGTTCAATAGAAAGTGATGTTTGGAGTATTTCTGAAGGATTGGCTTTCCAATCCCCATCATCATCCACCATGCTCTCGGGCTCTGAGGAATCATATGGTGAGATCATGGTTTCATCTTCAAAGTGCACTTTCAGCTGTTTGGCTGATGAAGCATCACCCAATGAAACATGGAGTGATTCAACTTCTGTCTCTGAAGATGACTCATTCTCCAGAGAATCCATGAGGAATTGTGTATATGAGCTGTCAGCCCCAAGATCTTCAAGATACCCTTCACTGCTACTGCAAGTGCTCAAGTCATCAATGGACCTGAGAAGGTCAAGTGATACAGGTACCAGGACCTTTCTTGTTCCCTCATCAGGACTAACTCCAGTCTCACAATGTATGGACTGCTCTCCCTCACGAACACATGACTTTTGAAAGATGATTTTTGCATGATTAAGAATGAGAAAGTGAAATATTTCATCACATTTGGAACAACTTAACACTGGCTGCAGTCTTGGGGGTCAACATTAACATATTTCAACAAAAATTAATGCATGGAAGTTTGAAACCTGATAGAAATCAGATTACATAATGCATTCCGGAGGAAAGAAATGACATTGGGCTTAAATCTTACTTTTCTTGAAGATAAACCTGAGATCATATTGAGATATGAAAAAGAATTAATCGACTAAAGAAAATTACATCTGTTAAATATCATTGGCTGCATGACTTCGTCTCTCATACGCAGTCAACTACATTGCAATCAAGGTAACATTTCATGGCGATCTTGGTAGAGCCACTTCGGAAGGGAAGTGAATTGCAGTAATCACTCACCTCCTTTGGTTTCTCCTCTGCGGGCGTCTTGTCATCATGGTCACAACCCTCAGAGGTGGCTTCTTGAGCGACTTCTGGCGCCTCCCCCTCTTCGTCCTGAGCATCCTCCGCGGTGTTCTCCGTCGAAGCCGGCTGTTCCTCGCCCTTGTCCTCGGAGACAGGGGTCGTCTCCACCTCCACCTCGCTCACCGCTGCGGGGACCTCCTGGGGTTCGCTATCCTTCTCTTGAGATTCCACCTCCTCCTTGGATGTATCTGCCTCCTTAGTCGTGTCCAGTTCCTTCTTTTCCTCCTCCACTTCCTCCTTCTTCTCTTCCTCCTTCACCTCCTCTTTTTTCTCTTCCCCTTGCTCTGTTTGCGTGGATTTTCCCTCCGTCTGCGCGATCCAAAAGGGTTATTTCATCGCATGCACGCTCCCCCTCGCATATTTCATCGACATGATCCTCCCAAAGAGGATAGACGGCCTAAAGCTAAAGCTACCTTAGTTCCAACTGCGCCATCGAAACAGGTATATAATACGAAGTAGTAATACAGAGTAAGAGGTTGTGAAACTGACCTTCTGGGCATCTTCGTCCTTCTGGGCGTTCTCTCCTTCTGCCTTACGATCCCCACCATCCTGATATACATCAGACCCAGAACGGATGGGAATCAACACCCCGGCCATCGCCCATAAATCTTTTACGCCGTGATCTAATAAGCCAGTTTTATCAAGATTCCCGAGCGTGCGCAAGCCGAAGTAGCCGTCTTGGCTCTCGATTTAAGTCCTATCCAATCATCACATCCTTTCGCTGCAGGTGCATCAGGCTCCCACAAAGGCAGGGAAGCCAAAAAACGAAAAAAAAAATCCGGCTTCCGTTTCGTAAACAGATAAGGAGGGTAGGTTATTATTCTGGAGCCGTTCCATGGAACGTGGAAAGAGACATCGGGGCGAGATGCACCTTGAAGGCCGTCTGGCACAAAGGAATTCAGGTCATCTGTATTCTCGCGTTCGGTACACATGTCCTCATCATCCCACGACAATAGTAAATGCATACGCGCATCGATGCGTCGTAATCCCAGGTCCGACCTTTAAAAACCCAAACCAGCCGATGAAAAATAGTACACCTCACGAATAATAAATGCCATCGACGAGCGCGTGAACGTCACTCATCCCTGTCAACGATGCAAAAAAAAAAGATGGTCAGGCCGACCGGGAAGGTCACGACTGCAAGGTTACGCTGTGGAAAAGGGAATCCTCGCAATCGCCTCCCCGTGAATAATGGAGGAGCCGGGGAACAAGTGCGCTTGAGGGCCGGGACCATTACATTCCATTAGACGGAGATTCGGTCGAGGAGGATTTTTGACGCATGAAGCAGGGAATCACAAGTGACACGCCAGAACCTTTATCATCTCTTTATCGCCTCCCATCTCATGATTCCCCCCCCCCCCTCCTCTCCCACTCTCGGGGAATCATCGTGCCCATCAAAACACAGAGCTCTCGATTTTTTTTTACCTTGCGTTTCCGGCGAAACCTGAAAGTGATCCAATGCCAACAACATTCCATCACGTCACTCGCGTTAACACAGGCGTTCACGTCTTTCGCACTCGATCGACATCGACTTACAACTGAGGACTTCGGCGGTCGACTTCGCTCCTCTTATACGAGATCTGCACTTCGTGACGGGAAAGCCGAGTCTCGTGACAGGGAATTCTCCTCCGAAGAGGAATTCAATATCGTCCCGCCCGGGTGGGCCGAAATCCGATCATTCCGAAATACTATTCTCGTATATCAAGTCGGAGGGTCCCCGCGACGACGATTTCAAAGCCGGAAGCTCCTGTCTTCCGGAGACAGAATGGGACGAATGATGACATATCGGGCCTCATGAAGTTCGTGCAGGGCTAATATGCCCGAATCTCTTCCCCCCTCGGCCGAGCTACAGCTGGGGCTAATGTGCCCTTGCGATCGGGGCTGTCGTCTCTGAGACCCTAATGAAACGACTCCCTCTCGACCCACTTCAAGACGAATCTGGGATGTACTTGAGAAATTTCTCCGTGTTGAAATCGGAGAGAGCCCAGGGACTCGCCCTCTTCCGTAGGCTCGGCACGTGCCGGCTTCGCAGATGGAAGATTGATGAAGGCTTCGGGAACCCCCGTTGAAAGATAACACCCTCACGGGGAAGAGAATCATCTACGGTCGCCTTACTTTGCATCGCATCGACAGACGGGATGGGAAAGAGAACACATGCATGCGCTTCGAGGGGGAAGACATGGAAGTTTTCTTTTTTTTCGCTCGTCAAAACATCGCTACGGACCCCATGGGTTGGTTTTTCTAAGAATCCCCCCGAGACGGGATTCCAGAGCACACCATGGTGCCAGTTCGACGCCTGGACCGGATTTCATCGAACCAGAAAACACCATCCTGCGAGTTTCATCCAGCGTCCCACGAGGACCGGTTACCCTTCGGAGAAAGACAATACGCTCATCATTAAAAGGTACACGAGCGTTCAATCGAGGCGTCTTTCCTCTCCCAGATCCAATCGATTTTATGGCCGGTACGGGTCGCCCCTTCGGGCGCCTCTGGCGGATGCGGAAATGTCGGGGGTGTAAACAGTTATATTCAAATTCTGCTTCTTCCTCGAGAATTCCATAAGGCTTGGCTTCCACGTGTGTGAACTCTTCTCCACGATACCAAATAAGCTACGTAAGCGCATCGCCTGCTAAGAGGATAGGAGACAAAAAAAAGTGCTAGACTCTTGTTCCCCCTAACACGCAGCAAACAGATGACAGGTGCAGGAAAGAAGAGACGAGGTGCACGAGATCGACATGGTGTCGGACTGGCGCCACGCTCCATTTACACAAGCACAGACGGCCCAGCTCTTACAAAAAAAAAATCCCATATTATCAGGAACCGATAGCCGGCCGGTAAGGAGAAACATTTCGTGCATTAGTCATGACCAACAACAGAAGCTGGGGCATTCGGAGAGCCTGGGGTTTATTCTATCGGCTCTCTTCCCCCTCACGCGATCGTAAAAGTTGCAGGGAAGTCCTGCCCTCATCGATTCCTGCCTTGCTGGGTACTGTATTCACAGAACCAAAACTCGAAATGCATGTCACTCGCTCGATAGACCCCCTTCCCTCGTCTTAGGTTAGCATAAAAAAGGCAAGCTGTACATCCCCCGTCGAAAAGAGGGGAGGGGAGTAACACGAGCGACAAGATACATCACACATTGCATGAAGAGCACTCGAGCAAGGACCTCCTCTTCCTCCCCACCCCAAAGCTTTTCGACGGGGAACGAGTGACTTTCCATGCCAAGCCGCACAACCTCCCCCTCCCCCCCCCCCCCCCTTTTTCCCTCCAGCTAACGCGGGCCATCCATCCACTTCCACTAATCCCCTGGAGATTCCAGACAGAGATCTCGGAGCCTGATCTTTCCCATCCCCCAGCCATCGACCCCAGACAGGGCCTGGGCCCTGTGAAAATGCCCAGGCATAGAAATTCCCCTTTTTTCCCATTTCCACTTCTCCCTGCACCGGTCCGTGATGTAGAGGCTAACCTTGGGCTTTACGGGCATAATCCCCTTCCGTGGAGCGTGACAATTTTTTTAGATTCCACTCAATGGCACGGCATGTGAATCAGTGAGCAAGATTTAGGAACGGGATGATGTATGATCAGGGGGTGATGACTCAGGGGGCCTTCCTCTGAACAACGGGACGAGTGACTCACACGGAGGCAGTCTGGCTTCCGTTTCCGAGTCTCGGTACGAGAGGAACACTCAGTTCGTCCTTAAGAAAAATAAATCTAGTGCACGTGATCATTTTCCCGTTCTCGCCCAACGTTCACGCCGTTCCACACCCCTTGCACCCATGACGCAATCATCAATTGTTTCTGCATCCGTGGTCATTAGACTGACCCGGTCCATATTTCCTGCATTACTTAGATAAACCACTTCAAGCGAGGAAACAAAGGCCTTCCTTCGATTTTGAAACCCCAACGAGCGAGTAAACGAGGAGACAAAAGAAAGGAGAGATCCCTGAGAATGCGACCAAGTGGCGTGCATACGATATTTGAATTGGCACCCACGTGCGAGCGCAAACCGACGAAAGAGGGCAAAAAAGTACAAACGGGACAATGAGAAGGGCATGGCACGCAGACACACACTGCACGACCCTATCTTCTCTTCTCATCCCGCGGTTCTGTATTGCATTTTTTAACGCATCCCACTCATGCTCTTACGGATGCAATATTCTCGCCCGGGGTCTCGACACCAGAATAAATGACCCACATGAGGTGTTTACCTCATGCGCATTTTCTATGAGACTTGGCATTTACATTGGCACTTTAATGGCTGGAACCCACAAGTCCTTATTGGGAATCGGGAAGCACGCGACCAAGGTCCTGCTCCCGGTCACGCCGCCCCGAAGCATGCAGGAAAACGATGGGAAAAAAAGACGGGGGGAACCTCGCCGTCGTGGGTCGTCAGCCCCCCCCCCCCCCCCCCCCCCCCCCCCGGGC